ATCGTTGCGTTGTCTTAAGGCTCCTATCTCCTCTCTCAGCGAACCACACTTGCCTTCATAGTCTTTCATACCTTGAAACTTTGAGTGGAGCGTTGCAAGTGTTTTAAGAAGCTCACTTTGTTCTGCAGAGACAACTTTTTCTTCTGATTTCAGGCCTTTATATTGGTCTTTCATGGCTTTTCTGTTCTGGATCCTACTGGTAAGGTCCTCAACGTCTTTTTGGAGGTCTTCATTTTCTCTGCACATAAATTCCATCTTGTGCAACTTCTCCCTACACATGACACCGAAAATCTTTTGATCTTCATAGTCTTTGTAGAGCTTCTGGCGTTGTTCTTTCAGTGCTGCGTTCTCCTGGCTGATGGTCACTTTGGAAACTTCCATTTGCTCATTCATTTCCTGCAGAGCCTTTTCATATCGGAGATCTTTGGATATCTCCCGAATCTCTTGGCTCAGGTCGTCATTTTGCTGGCGTATCGCCTCTTTCTCTGCTTTCAGTGTGTCAAACGTTTCATCCAGAGCAGTTAAATTTCTACGCTTTTCTTTGAGCTCCTGGATTTCCTCTTGTATCCTGTAATTTTGGAGCCTCATGGCCTCTGTTTCCTCCTTAATGACAAAATACAATTCCCGCAAAGATGGTTCATTTTGGGGTCTTCTCCTGAGCTCCTGAATTTCTTGTCTCAGCGCCTCGTTTTGCTGGCTTGCTGCTAAGAGCTCTGCTTTGACTTTATCATAGTTCTCCTCAAAGGATTTATCATGTGTCCTATTGTGTAGCTCCTGACGTTCTTTTTCCAAAGCTTCATTGGCGTTCAAAATGGCTTCTTTCGCCACTTGCATAGCGTTGGACATTGCATCCAGTTCTTTTTGAGTTTGGCTATTTGCATGGAGCTCTGCTAGTTGTTTTTTCTCATATTGTCTAGCGTACCTTTGCAGCTGGAGATCTATTCCTTCCAGTTGTTGAATGACTGCATCCAAGTCCACTTTGATTTCTTGGTCAGATATATCTGCTTGTTCTTGGCTGACGTCCATGCCCAGATTGTCAAAGAACATCTCAGAAGGGACCGTTTCCTCGATGCAGCTCATTTTTCTTCTCTCTTAACGACTGTGTTAACCAGCGCTTGTTTTTCTGGGCTCTGTACACGAAGCTCAGTTGTAAATGATTGATTAGACTGAGGAGCTGAATGTGTTTCAGAATGTGTTCACTCTGTGGCTTTGATCTTCAGAATGTGGAAGCAGGCAGTGACATCACTTTCCCCTCAGAACTTTGTTTATGACATCATCAACATTATGACATCGTCTAAATTCTGATCGATAAAGAACAGGAAGTGAGGGAACCTTTCACACAGCATGGTGTTTATGAAATGGTAAAAAGACAGAGGATCAAGTCTGAATCTACACATTTTTATACACAGAACACATCTTCCTGTTGTCTACGTCTTCTCGCATAAGAAGCAATCAGTCGCTCCCAAAATCTGGCAGCAATACTGTTTTTCCACTGTTTGAACACAAACATCCTCTCGCATTAACCCTTTCTGGTCTGCCCTGTCCAAACCTGGGCGGTTATTTCAATTATTTCACATTAATTTAACATTGTGAGAAAACTATTATCAGAGCTGTAATGGACATAAGTTTGTCTGCAGTTTCCTGACATTAGTGTTCCAGACGTATAAGCAGTATTAACAAGTGCTTGCAATTAACTGATGAAACATTATGTCAAACATTTGCATTAGGTAAAATGTCTGTTTCCCTGAGCCAGTTTGTCTCAAACACAGGGACGGTCTTACTATATATGACTAATAGGTACAAAATGTTTTGAAATCCGTGCAGTAGATGGCTTCCCATGAACTAGCTTCAGTGGCTGCAATGTACTGCAAGAATTGTCCTTAACAAGACTTCTGTTTCTGGTTTAAAACAAGGTTACTCATAGGGATCCCTTCTATGATTGTGTCAGACACCTGGTATAACAATCTGAGCCTGTCGGTGGCAAAAAGAAGCACTTTTGCACACATAATTATGACGAGCGCCTTAAAGGAATACGTTGAAGCTACTACTGCACAACACATGAATGCAGGTCTCAATTAGGCGCCTTTTCTGTTTTTTATTTAAGTTCTCTGGATGTATAAAGCGTCTTAAAGCCCACCAGGTCCACTGATCAAAACAATCAAAACCTTTTCATTAAATTTCATCCAAGTTGAAATAACTACAGTAATCTTCATCTTTTATTCGTTCTACGGTGTCTCTCTTTTGTGCAAAAGGAATTAAAGGCCGGTCCCATATAGACGCCTGTCCCAAATATAGAGTAAGTTCAGTGATTGATAATAAATACATTGTTCAAAAAACAAACAAACAGTTCAGTGATTGAAGCAAATAAAAGCCTAAGCTATAAAAAGTTGACACTGCGTTTACTTTTTTATATTTAACAAATTCACATATGTGACACATAATAAATACCTCAGACCCAAGTGTCGTTGTACTTACTATCCCAAAACACTGGTAAGATTGTTTATTTATTCCACTTTAGGAGTTAATGACTTGACGAAGCGATTCAACAAGGTTCTGTGAGAATCAGGACTGTAATCGCCTATATAACACTCACCTCCTCCAAGTCACATGTGTCGCCAGTTTCTTCAACTTCCTTCACTTTTTCTGTCTCCCTCTATCGACTCCAGTCCACAAGCGTCACCATGAGATCACGTGGTGAATTATTGTATGGTAAATCATATTGTTCATATTTGAACAGCACGGGTCTATGTGATTACATAGCAGTAGACAATAAAATAATAAAACAATTACTCAAAAAATAAGTAATAATACAAATGACCATTTGATTGACCTTCATACCTACCTATAAAAGCCCCCAACCGTTACATTTAAATGATTTATTGATGAACAAAACAGAAAGATGTACAAGGCTTGGAGTTCCTGTATAGCCCTATTTGAAGTTGTTTTGAAGCTACGATAGGGAAATCTGCCATAGCACCTGGGCACGACAGACCCCCAAAAGCTTCCAGTTATTTGAGAGAACATTGGCTGATCTGAGATATTTGAGATATGATTGATCCGTGGAAAGCCATAAGGCAGGGAGAGCACCTCCTTGCCCATCCATGTGCATACATGGAAGGCCCAAGGCAGAGAGCAGGAGTAAGGACCCAACGCCCACCCACTGTTGCAGAGCAAGCAGCGACAGCAGGCGGGCTATGGCAGCTTAAATGGACACCTTGTATGGAATTTGCCAATGAATGCTAAGAGATTAATCAGCTGAGCTGTCAGCTGATGTGCTGGGATTGTGAGCCGAGCTTAACTTCGTTGCCTGCCTGAACTAATTTAAGTAAAATTTTTACTCCATTTTAGTGAAGTATGATTATTCTTTACTTGATACAAGTTTGCTCATCTTGAAACAACCTAAATCCATAAATAATAATAAAACCAAATATTTAAAACCAGTCCTTATTCTAAGAATATACAGTGAGGAAAATAAGTATTTGAACACCCTGCTGTTTTGCAAGTTCTCCCACTTAGAAATCATGGAGGGGTCTGAAATTGTCATCGTAGGTGCATGTCCACTGTGAGAGACATAATCTAAAAAAATCTGCAGCTGTATCATACAAATAAATAGTTAAAAAATCATACATTGTGGGTCCGTGTATCTTTTGGTCATTTGATTTTCCTTTTAGAAACAGGTATTAAAAAACAAAAAACAAGTGGCTATTTGATTTTTGTTGTAATATACAAAAATTAAAATTAAAATACAAAGTATTTCTCTTTTTCAGTGTCAAAAATGAACAAGTGAAATATACAAAATAATTTGAGTTTCTTTTTTGAATAACAAAAAATAAAATCACCGGAAAACAGAAACAGAAAAAGGCTCGTTTGTTCGTATTCTAATACCGGATGTGGTCATTTCTGTGACAAGAGCGCCAAATTTGACAGGGTACCGGTGTTGTAGCCCAGAATAAAATGTCTTTAGAACATTACTCAGCTATGATTTTAGACATGGCAAAACAAGGCCAGTCATCCACAGAAATCTCAGCGCAGATATCACAAGTAAGTGGGGGAGCAAGAGGATGTTCCGCAAGAAACGTGAGGAGATTTTGCAATGAAAATGGATTTAGTTTGATGGGACTCCCCGACGCACATTTGGAGTTGGAGGTGGCAAAAGCTCTAACTGAGGTATGATCTTGCTTTATTTCCCTTTTGCTACAGGTTGTGTGTGTGTGAGAGAGAGAGAGCGTATGAGAACGAACATGCAGTAACATGCACACACCAGTATGTCCCGCATTTCTATGTCTTATCAAATTTGACTGGCATCTTTTATGCCCGTTTATTACGAATAGTAAATAAATCACAATAAATATCCTCAGCCTTCCACTATTAATAAATACTCACAGTCAACATAATCATCACAACACTGATACATTACAACAAAACGCAACCTGCACTGTCTAATTTCATGATATACATATACATCAGCTGGTATGATTTTGGAAAGTGAAAATAATGTTATTTTCTAGACTGGACCTACATATGGAAGAAGGATGATGAAGGGGTATCTCGCCATGAAAGGAGTGCATGCTGCAGAGAGTTGGATCAGTGCTCAGGACAATGCATCAGCCTTACCATGAAGCAAGACGTCAGGTCTGTTACTGTCTCATCTCTAATATTTTACACAATCAAACATGTGGAATTTATGAGTAAATATGAGCTGTGTGTGTGTGTGTTGTTGTTTGTTTAGCTGTAGTTACTTGTATAAGATTAAAAACGTACTGATATTTATAGTAAGCCTGTAATCAAAACAAATTATTTTCATTTTTTTGACAGATCTTCAACTGATGTAGTGTATATAGGAGTAATAGGATTTTATTTTTTGTGAAATAGTTACATCGTTTTCCTATCTCTCTTAGGGTGCCCGCAATCTCAACCCCATACCATATCGAGCTGATTACATGGGTCACAAGGTTCATTTGGACCAAAATGAAAAACTGGCTGTTTGGGGTCACCCATGTTTTAGCCATTGATGGCTTCAGCAAAAAGGTTGTTGCTCATTCTACAATGCCTATAAAAAACAACCTTACCATCTATGAAGATGTTTTCAGGTAATAGCCAATGTATTATTGTGGACACTAAAGGAATTGTATACACATGACTAGCATCAGAGAATATGTAACTATATAATAACTTTTGAACGTCTAATTATAAAGCATATTATATTGCAAATAAACAGTTAAGTTGGCAGTTTTGCACAAAATAAAACTGACTTTTTCATCCAGTTTCTGCAGTACTTGCCTATGGTATGTGGGACCAGGTGCGAGTAGATCATGGCAAGGAGTTTTATTTGACGCTCTTCATGCAGGAGTTGCTGTCATCTCACCGCCATAATCAGGAGCGAAGGCCTTATTTACAGACTTCATCCACAAGGGTACAGGGTTCCATACTTTGTTTGGTTGCTTCAGCAATACACTTTTATTATTACCACTCTTATTCTACTTGCTTCAGCAGCAGTTTTCTTGCATACATGAGACAAATTGTCTTTACTATTTCTATGCTTTAGGGCAATTAAATATAAAATTAACCATCGCCAAGAACAGGTTTCTTTTTAAAATCGGGTTATAGCTTAACAATAAATAACTGCAGAAGCAAGCACACTGGACTTAATTCAACCTTTATATTCTCGTTATGTGATGAGCATTGTGATTTTTGTTTTCTATTTGGGAAAATGCTCCTTATGCAGAATTCCTGGTAAAACTATAAATTTACTAGCTCAGCGGTCAATGTGCATAATGACTGCTGAGTTGGTAAATTTACAGATTTACTGGGAATTCTGCATGACCATTTTCCCCGAATAGACTATATGTTTTATTTACCCACCAGAACAAACTGACTGATTACATATCTTTGTTGGAAATTCAGAATCATATAATTGAACGAATCTGGCCTGAAGTCAACAATCGTGTCAACTATCCACTGAAGACAGCACTTCTGCAGTTGGTGGATCAAGAGGAAATAGACATGAGTGACAGCCTTGTGAGATATTGTGTGTCCAACCTGACTGGCCGCTTGTGTGAGATTGGTCTTACAAGGCTGGTGGAGTCGTGGAATGCTCATCCCGAATCCCAGGTGAAATAAAACAGTGTTTCGAAGATTACAATAATTACAACAGGCATTCATCAGTTTCAAGACCAACAGTATGTTCTTTATTTTACAGGTAAAGGTGAGGTGTCCCAAAACAATCCCACAGGAGCTGTTGCCTCATTCAGCTGAAGCAGCAACCTTTACAGCCAACAGCTGGGATCTCACTGACCAGACATTCAACTTTTGGAGTTGATCCATTTTCAACTGAACAGGACAAGATTACAGTTGAGAACCAGTTTGCAGAGCAATATTCAGACATTTCAGACTTGTTCTCTAGAGCAGTAAACAATGACTTTGCTCCATACAAACAGGCATTGCTCTGTCTTATTTCCACAACTCAGCGCAATGTGTGAAAAGCCATTAGCTCTGTTTAACTTAGAGACTGTAAATTTGTAACAGGAACAATGAACATCGATATGGCATCATCCAGCCCAAACATGTAAATAAATTCACATCACTACTACAGCTCTGACCCACATTTTTGAACCTATAAAACAAACTCAAATACAACGTGGATTTTTTACCTATT